TTAAATTGAAATCGATTTTAGAATACCCTTCTAATATATTTGCAGATCATTTCCATATCGCGGAATACTCCTGACTGGATTACACGTTTAGTCAACCCTGCAACCGTGGCTTATACAAATCAATCACGTGATATAGGATTAGTCAAAAGTAACGTGAAATTTTTTTGTGGGTGATCTACAGAGGTTCTACATTTTTGCACCAGACCATATTTTTATTTATTTAACAAAATTTAAAATGTTAACGTAATCACGCCACGAGAACCATTTATAGAAATTTTAAAAAACTTAATAACATTTCAAATTGCGTATAACCATAAAAGAAATGCTAAAAACCTACATATACAAATTTTGTAGTAGGTCATATTTAAGCAATTTTTTCAAGCCACAATGCTTAGGCAATACGCGGTTACGGCGAGAGTCCTCGACGTAAACAGGTTGAATGCATGATGACGTAGATCGGTGGGTAAATTTTGTATACAAAACGAGAAATAAAGAAAGGCCCATTGTTAACGTTTAATGATGTAAGAATTCCAAGCATTTTTGCATTAAACAATCACTAGAAATTATTAAAGTTGTTTTTCTAAAACTTCTGGCGGGGAGGCTACGTATTTTGCAAATGTGGTGGCTTCAAAAAATCAACATAATAAATTATCATCGATATGGTAAATTATTTAAACGAGGGAAACTTGATTCCAGGTTATGATCGTGTGTGAATCCAAGATAAGAGGCATCCGCTTTGAAAATAAAGTGGCTATGCGGTATAGGAAAGAAATTTGATTAATAATAAAAATTTTTTTCTTTATCTCTGTCTACTTTTCCGAATAAAAACACAGCCACATATATATTGAATATTATGAGGATTGAGACGTTCTTTTTATAGGTGGATATCAATTCTTTCCTTTTTCTGAAAATCGATCATTTTTGAAATCAAAAAAGAAACTCCAAAAAAAAAAAAAAAAACAAATCGATTTTTTTTTTTTGTTTTTATGAATGAGAAAATTGGAATTCGTCATAAATTAAAATTTTTTGATAAAAAGATAATCATTAATATAAAAATAATTGTTTTTTCTTGAAGAGAAAACCAATCTTTATGTATGGCTACAACCAATACATCCACAAGTAATCCAACAGAAATTCATGAAGGATCAGAGCTCAATATAAATTCACCACTCGTAATCGCGATTATTGCGATTATGGTTATAGTACTAATAATTGGTGTGATCGTTATCGTATTTTTCATTTTACGTTATAAAAATAAGTCAGCTTCACCCTCTTCAAAAGCTCGAGGTTTAAGAAAGTTTAGAATTGGTTCTGAAGCACGTGATGATGGACATACACATAAAAAACGAGATTCAGATGTTATACTTGATCTTGAAGGAAAAGAAGAATCATTTGAGGAATCTTACGCTGAAGGGGCAGTCGGTCACCAACAACATCAAATGGGTGGAAGGTCTATGCCTGTCAGATCACAAACCATATATGGAACTCAACCGCCGTCGACTTCGACGATTGATTTGCAATCTTCAACTATACAAGTTCCAATGATGCAAGAACACCATTTTATGGCACATCATCATAATAATGATGATAATAGTTAAACAAAAAAAAAAAAAAACAAGAAAATAAAATAAATAAAAAAAAATAGATAAATAAATACAAATGTATTTAAATAATGTATGTTGGAAAGTGGGAAAATCGTTTGTATATAGGTATTTAACATTGTCTTTTTTTATTTATCAATGACTAGAATTTTTTTTTTTTTAATTTCTTCAATGAATCATTGTAAT